CACACACACACACACACACACACACACACACACACACACACACACACCCTTGTTGGCCAGGGGTGGGAGCCTCTTTTCTACCTTAGTGAGAGAGCAAGCCCTCATCCCATACACAGGCCTGTGCTCAGTTACTCAAAGCTCCTATCTCAGGGTGGGTCAGTGAGCATCTTTCTTTCTCAGTCCAGGGAAACTGAGGCACAGAGTGATGTAGTCTTCTCAGCTTCTCTCAAGCCTCGTCGTCTCGTCACAAGCTGAGCGAACAGTGGCGTGCTCATGGGCATACATTCACAGTCACGATCCCAGGCTTCAGACATGATGTGGCATCTTGTGCCTTTCCGTTGCCCCTTATTGCTAGGGCATTTTCCAGTCCCCTCTGCCCTCACCTCTCCCTTGGGCCTCTGGCACCAGGCCCCCGAGACTCCTGTGACCGTGGGGATGTTCCGGCTGTATGGGTGTGATTGTGGGACCTGCGGTTTCCCCGGAGGAAGCTGGCTCGTAGCAAGGCCTGTTAAGGTTCTAACTAAGTTTCAAGTGCTTGGTGACAGGCCAGAGGGGCTCTAAAAATAGAGTTTGGTTGGGCATGGGGCATGGGTAAGCTTTCAGGTTTCCCAGTCGGGCCTGAGGATTCCCTTATTTCCTCTTTGGCAGGGGCTAAGTCGGTAGGGCTGGGACGCACGGCCTTCTGAGACCACACAACTCCTCACAAGCGTTACTGCACACCTTGGATAGGGAGGCTGCAGCCCACACTTCACTGTAGCCCCTGCTACACTGGGTTTGGGGCCCCTGGACAGAGGATGTCACCTGCTTGAGCCTCTGCCTTTTTTTTTTTTTTTTAATCTGTAATAATACGGTAATAATTAGGTCAGACTGAGTGTGTGAATGTTTGTGTGTGCGCTCGCGTGCGCGCACGTACGCTTGCAAGTCTTAGCTACAGGTTGTGGAGGGAATAGTAGAAAGAAATGAGCTTGTTGGAGTTTCTCCAGGGTGCGTGATCTGATGGGGGAGACAGGTGCAGACAGGCCGGTGGAGCTGGGCACCAGCCTGGAGACTGTGGAGGACTGGGGTGGAGCATCTCAGCCTGGTTTTAGTTAATCGAGCCTTTGCCCCCCTGGATCTCTTCTCCTCCAGCCTTACTTGTCTATTTGTTGTTTGGGGGTGGGTAGGGGAGAGGCTTGTAGGAACTCTGTGCGAGAGAAGGCGTGTGGCTGGCAAGAGAGCCGTGCCCAGTGAGCCTTCACCGCAGTTTACCCGGTTCCTGGTGTCTGTCTAACAGGGGGACCCCATTCCTGAGGAACTCTATGAGATGCTGAGTGACCACTCCATCCGCTCCTTTGATGACCTCCAGCGCCTGCTGCACGGAGACTCCGTAGGTAAATAGGACCCTCCTCCAGAACCTCAGTGCTCGGGCAAAAGTGGGGTGGGAGGGTGGGAGGCAGGCAGGGCCCCCCCTCCCACCCTTGACGTAAGGGAACTAGATCTATGGCACTTCCCACCAAAGGCCTGGCCACACCTCCCCAGGGCGGGGCAGAGTAGGTACCTGGGACTGGGGTGTGGCTGAAGCAGCCCCCCTCAGCAGCTCTAGCTTGGTGCAGAGGGCGGGGTTCCTGGAGTAGGGCCGGCAGGGAGAAAGCACTCAGGGCACGCGCTGAGTTACCTGTGCAGGTGTGGGCCCAGCTGGAGGGTAGGGCTATAGGAGTTAGCTCCCTGTCTGTCTGGCCCAGGGCCATGTCGGTCTGCAAGGTCTCCTGGGGACACCTGGCCGGGACCAGCTGGCAGCCCTGCCCATGCCCAAGAGTGCACTGGGCAAATGGGCACGTGCTTGGTGGCACACACGTGGCGGGGGGCCGGCAGGCTGGGCTGGGAATGTATTTATAAATGCTGTCTTCAGAGCAAATTCCATTCTATTCTAACCTCTGGCCTGGTCCCTAGAGCCCTGTTCAGCATTCCCCAGCCCCCCTCCCTGCACCCTCAGGCCCTTGTCCCTCTGGGGTCCTGTCTCTTTGTCACTTTGTAATCCTTGCCCAGACGCTATCTACGGGGGAACAGCATTTCCTGCCTTTGTTTCCTCTCTCCGTTGGGCCCCTGGCTCCTTCTCAAAAGCATTCCCGGGCCCTTTCAATACCACCAGGGCTGGGGGGTGGCAAGGCAGGCAGGAGGGGGCCCCAGCTGGGTCCACGTATTGTTCACCAGGGCCCCCACCCGATGTCTCCCACCCGTGCCCGGCTGGCCAACCCTGGCCACACAATGGGGCAACTTCCAAATTTAGCTTTCTTGCTGTTTCTTTCCAAGGCGCTCTGCCGCCCAACTCAGGCAGCCCCTCCACACCCCTGGTGGGGGTCGGGATCTTGGATGTGAGGCTTTCAATAGCAGGCCTGTTTCGAGGCAACCATGTGGCTATTTTTTTTTTCCCCTAATCAACTTAACCTTTCCACAAAGCACATCTCTCCCCATCTCCTCCTCACCAGGGACATTCCAGAGATGGCAGAGTGAAAGGAAGGGAGTAAAGGACAGACAGACAGCCAGGCTGACGTGGTCAACACTGTTGGGCTGGACAGAAGCAGACTAGTCAGTCAGTGGCGAACTGCAGGACAATTTTCTCCAAACAGAATCCCTGGGATCCTAGAAGGAGTGGCAGCTTTGTCTTTGATGGGACCAGTGGGCTGGGGAAGATAAATGAGCCCCAAGGTGCCATAAGGAGGTGGCAGAGGCTAGCTTCCAGCCTCCCTCAGTTCATTTGCTGCTCCTCACCATTGAGGGACAGAAGGGACTAGCCATCTTCAAGATCAAGTTCAAAGCCTCCTGGCCACACTCGGCTCCAGCGCTGTCCAGTGTGTTGGGGCACTTGGGATGGAGATGTCACCAAGGAGAGCTGGTGGCACTGAGGAGAAAGGACTCCAGTTTAGAGAGGAGAGCTGTGGCTCCCAACAGGAAGAGGGCCAAATCTTGGAGACGGGGCAGAGAAGCCCAGAATGATGAAAGCTGAGGAGAGAGGCCGACCTTGTGTGGCTGGCACTGGCCCTCCCACCCCCTTCCCTCTCCACCCTTTCTCTCCAGACCAGTAGGGCCATTGTCAAGGCTCCAGAAAGCTGTGCTGGAGCTGCTGCTGGCCCCGAGGGGATTCTGGGAATTTCTCCATTCAGCACTTCCTATGGGAAAGCTTTGGAGGGCACTGGGAACGGGCTTCCAGTTCTCTGGGCCCCTGCTCCGCCCTGAAGGCTGAGGAGGGTTCGCTGACAGTAGCGGAGGGCAAGGGTTATTTTTAACTCCATTAACATGGGTTCTGGCCAAAAATGGGGCTAAAAAACCCAGAGCGAGGCTGGAGACTCCCAAAAGATGCAGTTAGGCCCCGCCAGCCCTACTGAGCCATGGGGCTGCCCAAAATTCTGCCTGCTTGCCTCTTCAGAGCCAGGACCCTCAGGTTTAGAGGATGCAAAGGGCAGGGTCTCAGAGTGCAGAGAAGCCACCCTCCACCCGGCTTGGATCAGCGTGTCTGACTGTGCTTTCCCTTGCAGACGAAGATGGGGCTGAGCTGGGCCTGAACATGACCGGAACACACACTGGAGCCGAGCCAGAAAGCGCATCTCGAGGGAGGAGGAGCCTAGGTAAAACATGGTCCATACATCAGCTCCTCAAAGGGTGGGATCCAGGGAAGAGAAACCAGGGCACACCGCCAGCCTGGATTGGGAGTCACCCCCAAGATCCCTTCCTTCCCCACTGTTAGGGCCGAAGCAGGCGTGGAGCTGTCTCTGAAGTTGAGTTACTGTGCCCTCTGCCTCATGTCATGCTTTCAAAATAGTAGTTTGGGTCCTTTTTGTTTTTGAAGCAGGGTTTTGCTGTGTAGCCCTGGCTAGCCTGGAACTCACTACGTAAAGCAGACTGGTCTCGATTTCACAGAGATCTGCCTACCTCTTGCCTCCCCTTTTACGCTCACTGCTTCTTCACTCCAGCCCTGGAGAGGTGTGGTTAACCCCACTCCATAGGCCTCGAAACCAGGGTGGAGAGACAGGAGTGGAAGGGCTGAGGTCAGGGCTTTTTTGTCAGCATTTGAACCCAAGGTCTTCAGGGTGGGTCATCTGTCTGCTACGGCCCAGGGCTGCACTGTGGCCCAATGCAGAGCTCAGGACTCCTGATTGCTCCTTGGCAGAGACCAAGCCAGGAGACCTGTAGGCCTTAGAAAAGCCTGCCAGGGTGAAGCCCGTGGCCTCCTACAGTTTTCAAGTCACTGGAGATAGGCCTGGCAGAACCCACAGGTCTCCAAGCCCACGTCTCCACCTGTAAACCTTTCCCAGTCGGTGAAGGAACACTTACAGGCTTCATCCACCTTCTTTCTCTGGGCTCAGGCGAGAGGCGAAGCTCTGCTGTCACCTGGTTTCACAGATAAGGCTTTGAAGGAAAGACACACAAGAGCAAACCAGTTCAGCCAGGTGTGGTGGCACACGCCTTTAATCTCAGCACTTGGGAGGCAGGGCCAGGTCGGATCTCTTGAGTTTGAGGCCAGCCTGGGCTAAAAGAAAGTTCCAGGAACAGGGCTACACAGAGAAACCCTGTTTCAAACAAACAAACAAACAAATAATAATTAAAAACAAACAACAAAAGACCAGTGCAAAGCCAACAGCATAACAGTGTATAAGGTCTCACATAGGACAGTCACACAACTGTATGAGTCTGAACATTTGGGAGCCAGGACCATGAGACACGTGTGCACTAAACCTTTTACAAGGTCACACGGGATGATTTCGCTTGACCTTGGCCGTGCTTCTTGGAGGTAGCTCTTGCCGTCCTTGTCTTCAGATGGGGAAAACGGAGGCACAGGGTGGTCCAGCCCTCTACCCAGGTTCAGGGCTGTCTGTGGATGGGGGAGGCTCCAGAGAAGAGAGTCAGCTCCTGACAGGCCTCCTTCCCTCCCCCAGGCTCCCTGGCAGCCGCAGAGCCTGCCGTGATCGCGGAGTGCAAGACGCGCACGGAGGTGTTCCAGATCTCCCGGAACCTCATCGACCGCACTAACGCCAACTTCCTGGTGTGGCCGCCCTGCGTGGAGGTGCAGCGCTGCTCCGGCTGCTGCAACAACCGAAACGTGCAGTGCCGGGCCTCGCGGGTGCAGATGCGGCCTGTTCAGGTGCGTAGACCCAGCCCCGCCCCCGGCCCGGCCCCGCCCAGCCCTGGGGGCCTCCTGGCTGCGGCAGGTTGCAGAGCTTTGCTGGGTGTCCCGGCTCCTTCCGGAGAGGGAGGCTCCTTGGGGCGCCATCTCCAAGGCGTCTCAGACCATAGTCACTGAAAGTCCGAGCCCAGCGTGTGACTGGGTGTGAAAGGCTAAGCAATGGACCCATGTCACTTGCTCTACAGGGACACAGTCCCACAGTTCCCTTGTCTTCAAACATCAGTGTTCAAGACTCTGGTTGGTGGTGACATGTGCCTTTAATCCCAGCACTAGGGAGGCAGGGGCAGGCAGATCTCTTGAGTTTGAGGCCAGCCTGATCTCCAGGACAGGAGTGAGTTCCAGGACAGCCAGGGCTACACAGAGAAACCCTGTCTCACCCCCCCCCCCAAAAAAAAAAAAAAGAATGTTAGGGCCCCTTAATGCTTCGTCATATTCAGGGGCCCCTACACTTTGGGATTTCATCTGTCTCTTTAGCAAGCTTTGTCTTTAGTGAAGGTGGCACAGAGCGTCTTCCAGGTGGAAAGTTCTATAGGAACCAGGCCCCACACTGGTAAACGACCCAGCTCTGTGCCCACTTAGGGATTTCTTGGAAGGAGTGGGACACAGACGCTAGTCTGTAGGAGGAATTTAGAGGCCCAGGGAGGCCCAGATGTCTTCTAACTCAGGATGGACGGGTCTTCTGTACCCTGGTCAGCCTCCCCTTTTCAGGTGCCCCTGGGCACGTGGCACAAATCTCAGTACCGTCTCCACCTGGTACACTGGCTGTGTAGCCATGCTGTCTTTCTCTGGCCTCTTCCTGTGGCCTGTGCTCAGTCTCCTGCCTATCTTCCATTCCCGGCCTATCCCTGTGACCCAGAGTGAAAGCCACATGCTATGCTTCCCCCCCCCCCCACTGTCACCGTATCTTCTGTCCCCAGCTTTAGGGATGGACACCTGACAGCTGCCTTCCCCTTCCAGCCTCTCTGCTAGATAAGGCCTCTGTCACTTCCTTCCAGATAACCATCTCCCTGCTCTGCTACAGCCCCTGGCCTTGGCTGGGGCTCCAGGAATAGGACCCACAGGACTCAAGCTCTACCCGGAAATGCCTTTCTCCTACTCTGGGGGGTCAGGGTGGCGGGGGGTTGCTACAGCAAAGCTGGAGGCCGGGTCAGCTAGGTCGAAGGGCTTGTTTTGATGGAAAAGCTCTGAGAGGGGCAGAGGGCAAGGCCTTGCTATTGTTCGGTCCAGAGCCCTCACTCGGCAGACAAGCCTGGCTTTTGGCTTTCGAGGAAAGACTAGCGCAGGAGCCTGCCAGGCCCATGACACTGCCCCTGCACAGGTGGCTCCTACAGGGGAGTGCTGTCCGTTCTGCCCTCCAGGTGAGAAAGATCGAGATTGTGCGGAAGAAGCCAGTCTTCAAGAAGGCCACAGTGACCCTGGAGGACCACCTGGCCTGCAAGTGTGAGACGGTAGTGACCCCTCGGCCTGTGACTCGAAGTCCTGGGACATCCCGGGAGCAGCGAGGTAAGCCACCTTCCTGCGGGCCGCTCTGAGGGGCTCAGCTCACAGCCAAGGAAAGGCTGGGGCAGGAGGCTGGGGAGAGCGTGCCGAGGGTTGGCTGTTCGCGGATCGAGGCCGAGGAGCTCAGTTTGAATCACGGCACCCACGTGGAAACCAAGGCATGGTAGCTGTGCCTGCCGTCCTAGTGCTGGGTGGGTGGGGAGAGGACAAGCTCAGCTCCAGGTCCAGTGCGAGACCCTGCCTCAGAAGATAAAGATGAGGAGCAATAGAGGAAGACATTTGACGTCAGCCTCTGGCTCCCCATCCACACATAATGCTCCCCCACATACACACAAATTTAGATGGAGATCAGATACATGGTCTGGTTACATTTGTTTGAGACCTTTGATATCACTGTAGAACAGTCCAGATCCTTCACAGCCCGAAAGGAGGCTGCAGCCCAGGCCTTGCCACCAACCAGTCCCTTCACTCGTGACACCTACTGGAGACACACAAAGTAAGGGCTGGGCACCTATACAGCTGGGATGGCCAGCTGGCCCTAATGCATCTGTCAGGTGACTCATAGCTTTGATCTCACAGGTGTCAGACAGGTCAGTCTGAGTTGGAAAAGTCTAAGAGGTGCCCTGTCTGTAGTGGAGGTACCACTGAAGTCCAAAGATGCTCAGGCCTTGCTCCAGGTCACACAACCCATCCTAGGCCACTGGTGTCGTGAAATTTCCCCTTTCGGCTCTTCCCTCTCCTGAGCAACTCTTTCTGGCTTTTGCTCACCAGCCTTACCATCTATAGGAAGAATTTTTTTTAATTCATTAATTTATTTTTACTTTATGTGCATTGGTGTTTCACACCTGTATGTTGGTGTGAGGGTGTCGGATCTTGGGAGTTACAGTTGTGAGCTGCCGTGTGGGTGCTGGGAATTGAACCTAGGACTTCTGGAAGAGTAGCCACTGCTCTTCACCACTGAGCCGTCTCTCCAGCCCCGCACCCCCACGCCCCCATAGGAAGAATTCTTAAGTGTTAGTGCTGAAATATTGAGGGGCTCGCTTCCAGGTTCATTTCTAGTACAGCATAGGTCAGGGCTGGTGTTTTGAAATCCTTAGGCTCACACCCCTTTCATTTGTGAATTGTGTGTATTGGCTCGGGCTTGGCCCAGCCTAGCCTCCTGCACGTGGCCTTTGGGGCTCAAGCTCTCTGGGGGATTTTCCATGGCCCTCCTGGGTGTCATCCCTACAGGGACTCTGAGCTCCCCAGAATCTCTATACTGCAAGGAGAACTTTGCACTCAGGGAAGCCAGTCTGAGCCAAGCAGACAGGCATCGGCCTCCCCAGCTGTCGGCCACAGACTCTCCAGTGGCTCCCAGAAATGGCTCTGCCTGGCAGACCTGGCTTCCCAGAGCCCAGGGGGATGGGACAGTAGAGTCAGCAGGCCCAGGGCTCCCAGGAGCTGACAGTTGGACTGAGGGTTGGAAGTGTGAAGTACGGATAGATCCCAGGGCTTCAAACACAGCTCTCTGCCTCGTTTTCCCCAACAGTGTAGAACGAATAATACCCACTGTAGAAATACAGGGGCATACAGTGCCAAGAGGTCACTGCTGCTTTAAGAGAGGTTAAGAGACTTCCTCACAGTACCTGGAAGAGCCCAGGTTTGGAACGGAGCTGACTGAGCTATGGCCCAGCCCTCCATCCTGCTTCACAAAGTGCCCAGGAATTTGAGTGACAGGCCCAGCTCCAAGGAAAATCTGGTTCTGGCCTAAAGCCCAGTGGCCTCCTCATCTTGTGGCTGGAGGAGCCAGAGGTTAGTGGCAGAGGTCTCAGTAGGAGCACTAGCCAGAGAGATGGAGAGCAAGGGGTCACGGCGGTGGCTGGCCAGCATTCATGCTGCACCGTGACTGACCCTCACCTTGCGGCTCTGCGCAACAACTAGGCTCCTTGGATAGCTCGCTTGACTTTGCCGCAGTCTGGCTGTGGCTGGGGGTGGACAGTTACCCCTGTAGTGTAAGAGAACCGGTCCCCGAATGACCTCTCTAGCCAGATCTTTCATGTGGTGAGAGGGTGCCCAAAGTACAAAGGAGAGTTGTGCCAGTCCTCTGAAGGTAGGTGCCTGGTTGGTACGCACTGCCAACAGGACCTCCTGTTGGGTAGAAGGATCCAGAGCCAGGGCACCTGCAGGAAGTGGAAAGATAAGTCCCACCAGGCCTCAGGGCCACATTGGAATGTAGCAGCCTGTATTAGGCACAGCTTGGCCAGCATGCTACTGTGTGGTCCCCTCCCCTCCCCCATGAGGTGGGCTGTCCTCCTGCCTCACTTCCAGACAGAGAAACCGAGGCATGGAAAGGTCAGTCACACCCCCAGAGCGCACACCGGGTGAGCAGTGCGGCTTGGCTTTGACCTCATGAAGTCCGACCATATGACTGACAAACACCTTTTCTTCTTGAGCAGCCAAGACACCTCAGACTCGGGTGACCGTCCGGACGGTGCGAATCCGCCGGCCCCCCAAAGGGAAGCACCGAAAATTTAAGCACACGCGTGACAAGAAGGCACTGAAGGAAACCCTCGGGGCCTAGGGGCACCGGCAAGAGTGTGGGCAGGTGAGGACCTGGCAAGAAAGCCAAGACTCAGACCCTCCCTGGCTGTGAGTTAGACTCGGGGTGAGGGCCCCAGCAAGGATATCTCCCCTCAACCCAGGCATCCCTGAGGTTTCCACTGGCCTGACTGTGCCTCAGCCTCTCTGAGAGAGGGTGCCTGCCTCATCACTCTCTCCATCACTGCTACATTTTGGCGTTGGGGCCCTCTGGAAGTCAGCATGGTGGCAGGAGCTGCAGCTCCTTGCCTTGGTGTGGGGGCCTAGGAAACAAGGCCAGCCCCCAGGCCATCTCTGACCCTGTATCCCTCTTCTCTGCCCACAGGGTTATTTAATATGGTATTTGCTGTATTGCCCCCATGGGGTCCTTGGAGTGATAATGTTGTTCCCTCGTCCGTCTGTCTCGATGCCTGATTCGGACGGCCAATGGTGCTTCCCTCACCCGCCTGCCCGGCCACCTCCACCAGCAGCAGTCAGCCCGCCCTGCGGCTCCAGAGGAAAACAAAGGACTCCGCTCCATGCTGCTTCTTCCCTTGACCCCAAGAACCTGGGACAAGTGTGCGGAGCCTCACGGGGGACTGTGGACTGGTCCCTGGAGCTTGGCACTTGGCCTGAGGACGTCTAGCATGTCCTGCCTGGTTCCCGGAGCCCTGGCCAGCCAGCAGGGAACACTTTCAGGCAGGCTAGGGTCCCTTGTAGTCCCGCGGCCAGGACCCCATGGGAAGCACAGACTGGAGGAATCCTCATGGCACCCAGACCTGCCACTCACCTCTCTCCCCACCCCCTCAGCCCACAGCGGCTTTTCATTTTATAAGTATGAAATCCTGGAAGACATGAACTCCTCTGGGCAGATGGCCACACGCCTTCTCTGATGGATTAGAGGTGCAGCGTGCTTGTGACCTGGGCCATGTCCCCTGCCTCTCTTCACCTCCCTACATTTACTTCTCTTTCATTTCTCTACCTCCACTCAGTCTTCTTCCTCATATGCCCTTCCGTCCGCTCGGCCAGCGAGTGCTTGGATCCTGACTGAGGCTCTGAATGACCCTGTCCGTCCTCCTTGGGGCAGAAAACATGTCTGTTAAGGTTGCGTGAGATTATGGCCAGTGCACGTGGAGAATTCTGTGCATCCCCTATGTATGGCCAATTTGTCTATTATGGATTTCTGCCAGATGTAGGTCAAGCCTCAGAGGAAAGGGAGCCTTGCTTCTAATTCATACCAAGGCCCTGTGTGGACGGGCTGTGTGTGCCCTGATCCAGCCTGAAGCTCATTGTGAGCCTGTGGTGCTGGGGAAGCAACGCTGTTTTTTGTTTTTGTTTTTGCCCATTGCCTCCACTTCCTGGGTCTCAGCTCCAGCTGTTCCTGTCCTGGCAGGTGTGGGACACTAGGAGATCTCCAAGGGAGGGGCAGCCCTCACTGCCCTCTCAGCCCTCAGCAAGATTGAGGTGATGTGCCCATCTTCCTCCTCACCTTTCCCTGCACTTCTCCCCCTCCCCCGTCCTAGGTCCGCTTCCTTTGTAAAGTCGGTGATTATATTTTTGGGGGCTTTCTTTTTATTTTTTAAATGTAAAGTTTATTTATATTCCGTATTTAAAGTTGTAAAAAAAAAAAGCCACAAAACAAAACCGAGTGAATCCTCCGGAAGTCTGTGTGTTGGCATCAGGTGTGACAGTTAACCTCTCCGTGTTGGCAGGATGTGCCAACAGCTTGCTACGGGTTCCTTTCACTTGGGGAGGCTAGGCACCGTCGGGCGTCCTCATGTGCAGGCACAGACACACACTCTCGAGTGCTCATGCACGTTTGGTCTGGCTCCATCGCAAAACCTAACACCTGGGCCCCTGGACCTGCTCCCTGTGATGGACTCGGCCCTAAATCTACTGTGCGCCTTTAGGCCAGTCGCAGCTCAGTATGGCCATGGAAGATGGGAAGGGAGGGGACTGATGGGAGCCAGGGTTCAGCCGCGGGGTCCTTTGCTCTCTTCATCATCCTACTCTTTTGGTGTGAGAGAGGGACCCAGCATGTGCAGTGCAAGCGGACTTCCGCTGAGCAACACCCAGCCTTACTCTTTCCTCAGCTCCTGGAGCCTCGGATGCCAGCTTATTATAAAAAAGAAAAGAAAAATCATTGTGGTTCTCCTTAGACTGTGGAACTGGCAGGGAGCCCGGGAGGGGGTTCTGCCTCACTGAAGGGATGATCCAAACCCGAAGCCATGGTACCCTGAGATGCTGAGTTTGTCTTGGCTGAGGTAGAGGCTACCCTTGTTACAGCTCAATTCATTCACCCGCTCCTTGAGCCTTACCACAAGGGTCTGTCCCCGCCAGCGCTTCCAGAGCCCTGTGACTTAAGTCTGTCTATCCCGAGTCCCCGTCTGTGCTAGAGCAGAGAGATAGCCCATGGCGGTGAGGGGAACTGAGGGGAGTTTCTGGAAACCCCTGTCCCGGCTGACATTCTGATAAAGCCTCCCTTTCCATGCACCCCCAATATCCAGTTTCCCGGACACGAGAGCCAGTGCTGGCATGGGGGCGGGGGGGCAGGACTCACCAGGATATAGAAACTGAGACAGCTGCAGGGCCCAGGGCCTGGGACACCTCGACAGCTGCCAACAGCTGGGCTATTTCATGGATGATGGCAGGAACTTTCTAGAGGAGCTGCCCGGATCTGTCCTCTTACCCGTGTTCCTTGCCAGGTAGCCACATTGAGTCCGGGGACCTTCAGGGGCCTGGTGGGCCTTCAAATCCTCAAGCTTAAAATGGTATCCTTCCAGAAACTTCTGGGAAAGGCATTCTCTCCCTCTCCCTCTCCCTCTCCCTCTCCCTCTCCCTCTCCCTCTCCCTCCCCCCCGAAGGCAGGGTTGATATAGGATCTTGTTATGTAGCCCTGGCTGTCCTGGAACTCAACTAGGTAGACCAGGCCGGCCTTGACCTTGTTAGAGCTCCCCTTGCCTCTGCCTCCTGTGTACCGGCCCAGCATTCCCTTCATGCTTACTCCCCCTCCCTGTCTCTGTGGTAACCCTCCACGGAAAAGCCGCCGCCTGACTTACTCAGTACCCCTTAGCAGCTCACAGGTACCTGACGATTGTGTCACAGTCACCCAGAAAAGGCCACTTCGAGCGTCACAGTCTGTTATGGAGGGATGGAGTGTGTCTGCCCCGAAGCACAGCCTGGGCACACTCACCACAGTGTGGCTGGAAAAGTTTAGACGCAGTGTGACTGCTGACAAGAGCTTTCAGTTTCTCACCAGCCCCTTGCTTGATCCTGTGTCTTCCTTGTTGAGGAGATCTGTGGAGGCTGAGATCCTGTCCAGTACCTTCTGTGTGTGTCCAGGGCCGTCTCTTGCCAAGTCGGTCCTCCCATATATCAATCCTCTCACCTGCCCATCTGCCCATGCACTCACCCGCCATTGATCATACGTACATCTACCCATTTGCCTGTCCACTCATCCATCTACCCATCTGTCGTCCATTCTTCTAGCCACCCCCCCATTCACACATCCCCTCACCAGTACAATCCGTCTACTCATCTATCTGTTCATGCATTCATTCATCCACCCATCATCCATACATATATTAATTGGCCCATCTGTGTGTCTACCCATTCATCCACCTGTTACCTGTTCGCTCACTTATCCACTCCCACATCCACCAGTTCATCCATCCACTCGTTTATGATCCATTCACCTTTGTATCCATTCCTCCATCAGTCTGTTATTCACATATCTGTCTAATTTCACCCCCCCATCCATCCGTCGCTCATCCGTCCCATCCACCCACCCATCTATGCACCCACTCATCCACATACCCATGAATTCATTCGTCCATCCGTTTTCCTATCCCTCCTCCCTGACCCGCCTGCCTCCCTTCTTCCTCTGCTGTGTGTCAATCATACCACATTCTGTCCTTGCCATGTCAGTCTCTGAGGAGCTTGAAACCCACAGCGGAGAGGACACAGTTTAGCGGTGAACACCAGGTCCCTGTTGCAGCCTCATGTCCTCCCTCCGTGAGACTCACAGAGCTGCTGCACAGGTTAGAAACACAAGGGCAAAGGCCCGCCCAGCGTGTTTGGCTTGCTAAGTGTTGGATCTGTTCTCTCAGCATCCAGCCAATGGCTAAGAGCAATGCAGTGAGGTGAAGATAGCGAACCCGCAACACCCACATCTCTGCTCGTGGTGGGGCCTCGTTGTCCTGCTCACTTCACCTAGTCTCTGTGAATCCCAACACCCACCCTCAGTTCCATGGTGGACAACTTGTCCTCCTACGAATGGCAACAGTCTCCTTGAGAGACATTCGTGGGCCAGGCCACTTCCTGTCCGTGGGAAGTGCTGAATTTGAGAACCAGCTTGGATGGCGAAGGCTACAAGTCCTTGGCCAGGTGGCACCTGAGTCAGATTCCTGGGCAACAAATATCACCCCTTGTATGTATGTATGTATGTATGTATGTATGTATGTATGTATGACTAGAAGATATGTATGTCTTAGCTGGGTGCGGTGGCGCACGCCTGTGATCCCAGGACTCTGGGAGGCAGAGGCAGGCAGACCTCTGTGACGTGGCAGGTAGATGACTTGTTATTGATGCCCTTTACACCTTGGGGCCCAGAATCCTTTTGAGGCAATAAAGGAAGGACAGACACCCATACAGTGAAGCCGGGATCCGGTTTGGTGCCTAGTACTACCACTGCTTCTGGCCTTGGGACCTCAGCTTGTTTATTAGGGACAGCTCAGGAGGAGGAGGGGTTAGCTAGTGTGGGTCGGAGGTCTCTGTAGGTGGGCAGTCTCGGACTAAACATCTGGAAGAGGAAGCTGCAATCACTCATCTTTGCATACCAGATCCATCAATCATAAATGCTCATACTCGAATTTTTTTTTTTTTTTCTGAGACAGGGTTTCTCTGTGTAGCCTTGACTGTCCTGGAACTCACTTTGTAGACCAAGCTGCCCTCAAACTCACGAGATCCGCCTGCCTCTGCGCCCCGGAGTGCTGGAATTACAGGCGAGTGCCACCATGCCTGACTTCATCCCCGAGCTTTTGAGGAAAGCATTGTCATTCTTTCTCAGCCTGGCCCACAGGGGTAATGGTTTTGCCAGTTGGTCTTGGAGTCCTCAACAGGCTGTGTTAAAAACACATTCACTCAGGACCTCATTCACTCAGGACTCCTCGGCTCCGTGCTCCTCATGATGTATTTGTTCACCAGATATGCTATCCAGACTCCTGGCCTGCTTCGGGACAGCAGGCCATCGAGAGTCAGCTCTCCCTGTCTCTCACTCAGACCCTGTCATTTCTGTTGTATCCACCCCCATCAGAGGGGACCATACTTCTGCTAAGTTGCTCCCCAGAAAGCCAGTAGAGAGTTCTCAGGGCAGCCCTCACTGATGGGAGCAGCATCCTGAACTCAGTTGCACTGAATTCAGTTACACTGAATCCCGATGGATCCTGAGACAGTCCTGGCATCCTCAGTGTGCACACTCATAGCCCACTCCCCTGGGGCTTTGCAGGTATGAAAAGACAAGGTCTTCACAGTGTTCAGCTTTAGATAGACTTGATCACAGTCTAAAGACCTCACAGGTGGTATCCCCAAGGGTAATGGCAGGTCCAGCCTCAGCAGTGAGTCATCAGTATCCATCCATCCATCTACTTGTCATCTACACCAGCTCATCTATCCAGTCGTCTATCCAACATGTATACATTCATCCATCCATCATCCTTCCATATTCCCATCATCCTCCATTAATCCACCCATCATCCTTTTGTCTACCCGTCATCTACCCACCCACTTATCCATCCACCCATCATCTACACACTATCTACCCTTCACCTACCCATTCGTCCATGCTCCATCTACCCACCCATCTGTGTGTTCATCCATCCACCTATCCACCCATCTGCCTGTTATCTACCCACTCTTCGTCCTCCATCCATTATCTACCCATCACCTGCATAATGGCCCATCTGGCTTCCATCAGCTCTCTGTTATCCACTCATCCATCCATTCAACATTCATTCATCCACCTTTCATCTGTCCACTCATTTATCCATCCAGTGCTCATCTATCCACCATCCTCCGCCCATCCATCTATCCACTCATCCTTTCCTTCACCAGCACCGAAGGATCTGTGTGGAGATCCTTGGGTTCAGAATGTCTCCAAATGCCCCTGAGGGATTGTGATCCCCCACTAATGATGTAATTCCCCATTCTGTAGTTTAGGTCTGGCTTTTAGTTTTGGCTCTCAGTGCTGAGGCTGTAAGGATTCAGCTGAACTGTCAGGGAACTCATAAAAATCGTCAGGGTTTCCTCTCAGTTGTTTGCTCTGTCCTGCTCCTGTGGTGCTGAGAGGGAACCTGAGCCTTGCCATGCCAGATAAGCCACGGAATCACACTTCATGCTGAGCCCCCAGTTTTTGCTTTTGTTTTCTTTTCTTTTTTCCCCCTCTGTGTAGCTTTGGTTGTCCTGGACTCGCTTTATAGACCAGGCTGGTCTCGAACTCACAGCAATCTGCCTGTTCTACCTCTCTGGGTGCTGTGACACTGTGCCTGGTGAGCTCTCAGTTCTTGATCTGGGTCCTGAGTCAAAAAATCAGGAGTTAGGATACTGTCTCCTGATTCTCCCGCTGCCATAGTGGAAATCCTCTTCCCTTTCCTTCAA